TCCTTTCTTAACGCCAAACAAACGAGCAGCGCGTGCTTCATTTCATTTGCTCTGAATGACAAACGATCGCCTTCGAAAAAGAAGAACGAAAAAAAAAAGAAAAGAGGCGCACGGACGAGGGAAAAAGCAAAACGAAGGATAAAACGGATATGAGCCGCGAAGAGAAAAAAAACGCCGCAGCGCGAGGGGCGAGGACTCCGGTGCTCCGCTGAGCTGGTAGTGGCTGCGACCACGACTCCTCCCCAAATATACCTGTATTTATATGTTGTTTCACCATATATATAAATAGAAACGGTAAAAAAATAAAAATACATAAGACGAGGAGACGGAAAGAAGCCGCGTCATGACGGATATTATGGTTGGACATGCGACTGATATTAGCCGCTCGCTTTCCCGTGTCATACCAGTTTGTGCACGGGGAATCAAAGCAGAACGAGGTTGTGTGAGGGAAAAGAGATCGGGTTGCGCCTGGCGGGCCGGGAAAAAGGTCGGCTTTCTCGCCAGCCCGCACGGGCCCTCATATTTATTAAAAAAAAAAAGAGCGTTCTTTTTTAATGATTATTAATAGGGTTTGGGTATAACTGCGATCGTTCCGAGGTGGTTCGACTACGTCTTCGTTTATTTCGTGAACGAGTAATATAATCGGCGTAGCGTAGGCGCGTACCGCCGCCGTACAATCGCGGCTGATTATTATTACTATTATTATTAATAACAGTGATAATAGCTGCTACTCTTACCTTTTAGTCTTCTTTTCAGTCTGTACGTCCTGTTTTTGCTTTTGCTTTTCCTTGGTAGCCTTCTCTCCGCGTAGCCACCACTCGCTTGCCTGCGCTTTCTCTTTTTTTTTTTTTTTTTTTTCACACACTCACGACGGCGATCAGTGGAGACTTCTGCACGGCCGATGCGAAATTATTTCGCCGATAAGCCAGGGGCCCGGCAGTCCGATTTCTTATTTTCTGTTTTTCTCTCTCTCTCTCTGCGGTTCCAAAATCGTCGGCTGGCTTCTCCGGAGGTTCGGAGTCCTGCGGAATGAACCGACGTCTGGCACGAAAACACACGCACGGAACACACGAATCGGCGGTGCGACCTTCGAGGTAGGCGACGTAAAGGGCAGCGACAGAACCACGCACTCAAATCGCTCAGACCGGGCCGCGCACTTGTCTTACTTCTCTGCCGAGGAAGCCGCTCCGCTGCTTCGGAAACGGCAGCGAATCGCGGAGATATGCGGAGGGAGAGAACGCTTTCCGTTTCGGAACGGAAGCGCCCTCGCGCTCTAAGTGTGGCGAATGCTTACACTACCTTTTCGCGAAAATGTTAAATGTAAAATAAAAAAAAAAGATTAAAACATAATAATAGTAAACTCTAAAAAATAAAAACAAAAAACAGTAATTAGAGTAGTTTGAGAGCGAGAGAAACCGCACTTTTGTTTGACTAGGCAAGTGGAGAACCAAAAAAGAACCTTCGGATCGCGCTCTCGGCATTTTGTATTAAAAAAAAATGTATACATAATTATTTAAAGATGAAAAACTATAGCGTATAAGTTATTCGCCACATTAAAAACGTCAAAATAACTCGGTTTAGCGAGAACAAATAAGTAGTCTAGTAACGCTGTACATTTTTTATCGAATCGAAACAAACAATAAGAAAAAGTTCCTTGGCTCGTGGCGTCCATATTGTTCGAGTGCCCCCGGCTTTTGTCAACTCCCGAAAACTCCGGCAAGTCGGTCCCGGCAACGAACCCAATCATGAGTATACCCACGTTCATAGACATCGGTGTCGACGACCAGTGCCTGGAGCTTCGCTCGTACCTCAAGGGCTTCGGCGCGGACATCTCGGACGAGCACGTCCCCGAGAGCCTAGCCCTGAACGTCCAGCAGATCATCGGCGTGTGCGACGTGTGCTTCAAAGAAGCCAGCGACGCGGACATCGAAGCCGTGCTGAACAGCATCGTGTCCCTCCTGGCCGTCATCAACCCGACCGAGGGCGAGGCTTTGGTGAACGCCTTCTGCGACAAGCTGTCCAAGGCGCCCTCGAACCGGATGGGCGCCATGTGCGTCCGCGTCCTCCAGAACCTCTACGAGGCCCTGAACCCGAGCTGCTCGCTCCGCTTCGACGTCTACTACAACCTGGTGAAGGTGGCGTCCAAGACGGACATGATGGCGGCCGTCTTCAGCGACCTGAACAAGGTGAAGGCGTGGCTGACGCGGCTGACGGTGCCCGTGGCCCGCGTCCAGAAGCTCCTGCGGCTGCTCCACGAGGCCCTGGTCGAGGCCAAGCAGACGGAGCTGGCATCCAAGCTCATGGTCGAGCTCCTGTCCACGTACACGGAGGACAACGCGTCGCAGGCGCGGGACGACGCGCACCGCTGCATCGTCTCCTGCCTGGCGGACCCAAACACCTTCCTACTCGACCACCTGCTGCCGCTCAAGCCCGTGCGGTTCCTCGAAGGGGAGCTCATCCATGACTTGCTCACCATCTTCGTGTCCGAGAAGCTGTCGGCATACCTCCAGTTCTACCAGGTCTGCGCTTTTTGCCGTTGTCCACCCGAGCTCTTCGGTTCTGTCGTCGTTTGCGGGGCGACTTGCTCACAATTCGAGTAGAGGCTGCACCCTCTCCACTTGCATGAACGCGACTTGTGCAGTGCTGCCGAGTCTCGATACATGTGCAGAATGCTGCGGTGTGCATCTTCCCCATAGTGTGCTGTAGGTAGCGAAACAATCTCCCTTGACCTGCTGTTCTTAAAGGAACCACGAAATGCCCTTTTTACTTTTGCCAAATAACTTTTACATTCAACGTTCAATGTTCACTGAACGCCGAACAGGCATCCGTTTTCGTTTCGTGGTATTAACTTCAACGCGAAAAATGATTGAAATATCAAGTTTTTCTTCCTCTCCAACTCGCCTCAATACAAGCCACGGCGTAATTTTGGCGGTCGTGATGTGTTCTGGCACCGGAAACGGATGGTCTCGGCAGTAGAAGAATGGGAGCATTAGCGGCGAGCTGGCGGTGTGCCGGTAGGTTTTTGCCACAGGGTTTTACTGCGCTGATGGCGTTGATGCCACCGACATATATTCTGAATCGACGCCTCTCATCACCGCGATAGCCATGGAGACATTGCAGCTGAGCAAAATTCAATCAGATAAGTTGCGCTATAGTGACAGCATGGGACTGGCCTCATATGCCAGTATGCCTGTTGAAAAGTGTGGCGACTCTTCCGCATAGACTCCAGTTCCTCGTTGGAATGTTCCGGGCATACACGGATGACCTTAGACCTTTGGTCTCTCAAACCGATGAGCCTTCACCAAGTGCTTTGATGTGGTTCCTCGAGTGGCAAGCGATGAAACTGCAGCTATTTCTTTTTAAGGTGCTGACTGCACAAACTGTAATTCAGGCACTTGCAACTACCCCGTTAGCTATAACTGCGTCTGTTGTGACCGGAACAACCACTCTGCGCCATGCGTACACTCCTGCAACCACTGCAACAAGCACAGCAGGTCGTCAGCACGCCAGCCGTCGGCCGTTTCCGTGGTGCCTCTAAAAAGAAGGGGATGTGCTGCCACTCACTGGCGTAGCAGAAAATGCACAGAGTTTTCTATGAGCTCGAGCTTTATTAACCTACATTTTGTCAGGGTAGGCTCGCAGCGCAGAGTGGAATAAAAGAAAAAAAAAAGCAGTACGTCGTCTTGGAAAATTGTGATTTTAACACACGACTTTACTGATAGTACAAATCTTGCCACACGCCTTTCCTACGATTGAAGAGGACAATGTAATCTTAGCAGATAAATAGCAATGCAGGAATATGATTTCGTGATCGCATAGACGTTAGGAGCGTTCAGAAATGCTAACACTAACCACATTTCTTGGGTGATGAAAACGCGTCAAATTTCCATCCTTCATACACACCTTTAAATACTGTACGCACCAGTAATACCTTGAACTTGAGCACATGCATGGAATGCGCAGAATAATAAAAAATCCGGGCGATGTTCGAGGACACAAAAGCTAAGAAAGCACCACTGTACTCGAAGTAAACAAAGACGACAGCACAAGCGTTTCTGCTGTCTTGAGGGTGCTGACAGAACATCCCTGCATGAGCAGATGGATCTTCCCTTTTATAACGTACTGGGTTATCACGGCAACGCACGACGAGAATTCAGTCAAGGATAGAGCTCTACGCGGAACAATGAGCTTCCACCATGCTCAACACATCAACAATCACCACCTACGCACTGTTTTTCAACAGATAGCAAGAACCGTGAAACAGGGCAGGCGCAGTCTTATCTTTCTCTCGCTTCGTTTACCACACGATAGATGGCGCATAGCTCCGGGCATTATAAAATTCGCCAATTTCTGTCACATCGCTAATTATTCTACAAAATATGGATCAGAATACTTCTGAACAAAACTTTTAAGAAACATTCGCCAGCTAATTATTGTTTTTGTTTGCGGTGCTGGTGAGGTAGGCTCTTATCTAATAGGCGACGTGGATGCATTACAGTGAAAAGGCAGAGAGCTTTCGAAGGAAAGAGATAAAAGAGTCTGCTTTTCTTTTAAAAGTTCTATAGCGAATAATTTTCTTTTGGCTCTCTATATTTGTGTGTTTGTCTTCTTTTCACACCTTTTACAAGTTGCGGTGGATGAAATTCGATTTCAAAATTGTTTCATAGTCCCTTTAACCTGCGACGGACTATAGTACAGCTTCATGGGCCCAGAGTACCACCCTTTCCAAGCTTCGTTTCAGAACCACACAGAGGTGGACTAAGCATTTTGCCGCCCTAGTCAATATTTGTAAGTGCATTGCGAACAATGGAATTCTCCGTGATTACCGCAGTACCCCGAGAGATTCCCAGCCCCGAAAGATAAGCCACCCCTATTTTTGGCTTGATTTGCTATTAGTTTTAAACCCTGAAAAATACCCCACTTCCAGTAATCATAGTGTTCGAATCAATGAAAAACTCGGTTAAAGTGCGGTTAGTTAGCTATGGTGGGACATAAGCGAGCATAGCCGACTGGGATGTACAGGTATCTTTGCTACACTGCCCCTCGCTGCGATAACAAGTTTGGCAGGGACACATGACCCAAAAATGGCATTTTTCAACTTTTTTTTATTACACTCCAAAACTTAGCCCACTCCGTATTTTCACCCGATTTGCTCTCGAATTTAAGCGGGCCATCTCGGGGTATTGCGGTAGGTGAAATGATGTGGACGAGGGCTTTGCCCCTTTAAAAAGTAAAAAACAGCAGCGAGATAGAGTATACATAGATTGCACATGACGTCGTACCGGGGAAGGACAGGACCCAGTGTCATGCTGGTGGTTGACTTTGCATTGCGATTATGCACTTACCAAGGTATAGCATGTATATAGTTGCGATTATGCACTTACCAAGGTATAGCATGTATATAGTAGTCCGGACATGCGCAGATGCATTGTCTCTTCAAGAATGGCATCTAGTTTTCTATGCGCGAACTTGTAACATTGTGCCGGGCATACGGTAATGACATTCTGCATATACGTCCAGAATTTCGCAGTGTCCGTGCAATTGTGCCATTCTGCTACGAGCAGAAAATGTCAATATGCCATTGATGCAGGTGCTTACCCTCAGGTAGAACATTTTGATGTGAAGGGCTGCTGGGCTGGTGAAACAAGCTTCGTTACACAGATCAAGGCATATATACTTAAGGAGCTGTGCAACGATTTTAACGTTGAAAGAATTGGCACCTTCTACTTTTGACATTGTTTATCCTGCCACAAAGGACAGAAAACACAGCTTCTTTCAGAAGGTTGCGATTCCGCTGCATAATCGCGAGGCAAAAATTAGAATATACTCTCACCTGCAGCCGCTAGCGGCGGCCATGAGAACCACGCGGCATGACGTCAATGCGGGTTTTGTAGAAAGATAGCAAGTAGTGCGAACACCTGTTCGATAAAGGGTGACTTTTCTATAAATCTTGCGGTTCCAACATAAATATAAATGCGTCAAAAACCTGGTATCATTGACAAAACTTTTATTATACGGAGTTTTAGTGGCGCCATCTATCCTAGGTCCACAAAACCGTCAGCTCTATCTGCTACCACGAACAGCCACCAGAAGCTGGAAGGGGACGGGGGCAGAGCCAGACGGGGATGGACGGACCCAAATGAGACTCCTTTTTTCGCCATATAGTTCGCGCTGCGCCAGCACGTGGTCACGCGGTTGCGAGCGGACGAGTTCTCGCTGCTTATTGATGGCTCTAGAGAGAGAGCTTCACCGGAAACCCGCGCGACCCCAATTGACGTCACAGTGCACGTGACTCGGAAGATGGCAAAGGAGTTGAGAGGTGCCGAATACCTCAATCTTTGTCCATTTTTAAAATAAAAACTAGGACATGAAGGCAAAAGCGGTTTTTTGTTCTTCAGAAAGGTCGAGATACCAACTCCCAAATTATTTAAGCAAAGCACTGGAATTGTTACACAGCTCCTTTAAATCACTGGAATCACGCAGTCATTCCACAAACGACTTTGATAGCCACAATTTAAAATTCTTTGAAGTCAATTTTTAATTCAGGTCTTGCATTGATCTTTTAGCTGGAGCAATAAAAACTTTGCATGGGGCACACCATCTGCAATCACTATAAGCCATCGGGTGTGAAATTTAAACCGGCCACTGCACATTTGTGCACAGAGGATGTTGCTAGTATTTATATTTATTTTTAGTCCTGAACGAGAGAGCACCAATAAATGATGTGGAGCTTTCGAACATGTTGCGTCGGCACCAACCGCCGTTCGCACAAGCAGATTAGTGTATAAAGTTCACAACGGATGTGCAGCTTATCAGTTCTACCAACACCCCTTGTGCACAAATTCATGGTGGTTGTCACAAGCCCGGCGACGACGGAAGGTCATCACCGAGACATGACAATAAGGGGGTGGTCGTTCGATGCCCGGCGTAGCCGGTAAGCAAACGCAGAGAATGAGACGGAGGCGTGTTATAAGGAAACAACAACAAAACAGTGTTTATAGGCTCGAAACGAACATAGAAAGGGAATTTAAAGTAACAGAACGTACATTTTACAAGACAGTGATGCTACGAGCGACAAACGTGTCGAGTTAAGCACAGAGAAGTACGTTACACATCCAGTTAAGTACGCGTGTACAAAGATCAAGACGAAAGTAACAGTCCAATTAGCGACGGTCGAAAGGAATGTTCAAAATTGAAGCAACATACAGTTAACCGGGGAGCACGGCGGCAGTCCATCCACAGAGACGACACACGTAGAGCGGCCCTCGAAGCGGCGTTCCTTCCGGGGCAGCGGGTGGTCGGTCTCGGAGATGCGGTGCGGCGGCTCGGGTTCCCGGGAGTACGCGGCGGCGGCTTTCCCCCCCGAAGAGCGAACTGATGCTGGGGTCCAGTCGCCCTCTTTTTAACGGCGTCGGGCGCTCACGGCCGAGGCACTCGCGGACGCTTGTTCACGCACGGGGTCGGAGTCCAAGCAGCACAACACCAACAGCACACAAAGTAGTTCATACAAAAAGGGAAG